ATCCATGATTGCTCCACTCCGGATCCAAGGTTCAAACCAGAGCTGAGTGGAGTTTCTTCGGGATGAACCACGAAACAGAGGGTATGTTCATGAAGGAGCATCAGACGTCCCTAACTGTTTTCTATCCCATAGACAGGCTACATGGGTCTGCCTTGTGGAGGCATTCCTGCATGCGTAGTTTCTGGACGTCGCCAGCCATTGCCACTGTAGGGTAGGGGCCATTGATGGCAATAGGCTGGCGCCGCTATCCCAGCCCTCTAGGCGCCAGCGCCCGCAGTAGGCAAGACTCTATGTAGGGATGCCTCCAATCGACGCTCCGGTGAGCACTGTACTTCATTCCACTTTGTAACCATCCGTCTGGCTGTAGCCAAAATGAAGGAAATTCCGGGGTGAAGGATCTGGTCTGAAGAAACAACCATACGACGCCGAACTTCTTCGCGGCTCATGTCAAAAGGCGTTTTTCATTAAATCGTAGCGGACGTTCAACGAAGTGGAAGAGAACGCCATTAAATTCCGGCTCAAGTGGCGGAAAATGGCAAGTGAAACGAAGCGAATCAGGCAAATCATCGAAAAGAGGACGGACGATTTCTGAGCAGAACGATCGACAACCCGATCTGCTCTAGTACGTGCCCGAGGGATGTGAGTATGAGCATTTCCTGTGGTAGTTCCTTTCCGTTGAAAAAGCGGATGTGCAATTGCGGTTTTGCGGTCGCCATGGGAACAGTCCGTAGTCTCCGCAATCGCTCTCACCCAGCGCACTTCGAACTCTATCCTTCACTTCTGGGAACACTCTTTGGAACGCCTATCCCACGATTTTCAATCCGATATCTATAAAATGAAGGACACCAACAGACCACCGAAGAAGATTCTCGTGCTGGGACCATGTAAGGTAGGTGAGCATCAAAAAGATTCTCAGTAAAACACTGCAAGAAGCAACTTCTCTCGGGAATTGGCCGGGTGTTGTGTTGATTGAATTAGCTGCTTTTTGCCGCTAGCTACCCCCAGGAAACGCTGCCACTCTCCATTGTGAGCGCTCAGCGATCCTGATGCTCAAATAAAGCTACGAAGCTTATCTCGAATAGGGCCATAAAAAAATACACAGAAATCAAAATGCCAGCACTTATAACCTAAAGTTCCTGAATCGCTCCTTTGCCTTCTTAACTGAACTGTATCCCATAAGAGTGGTTTTTCTCTAACACGGGAATAATTTCAATTACATAGGGTTGATTACAGAGGACAAGTTTTCAGCCAGATGATCCTGGCTGGGATGCACCTAGGCACTGGCGGGGATCGCACTTGGGTGCTTGAGGATAGGAAGGGATAAATTTGCTTTGATAGTCGGATAAATTTGCTTTGATAGTTGATTTTTTTTTGATCAGCGTGCGCTAGCCACAGTGTCTCCCATTTGGAGGAGGGGAGATCGTATTTACTCGTCGCTTTGAGAGGGTGGGAGGGGTCGTATCTGACCCAGTGAAGAACTTTTCCGTACGCTCTTCGCCTTGTCGACTTATATTGGGTTTTCCCCTTTATATGCACTATTTATGGCAGAATTTGGGTGAGGGGGGATTCGGAAAACTCTTTGGAAACTGGTCGAAAGGTGGGAAAAGTTGTGAAGATGGTAGGCAGCATGGGGAAAGAGGGAGGGGGACTCCCTCGGAGGGATTCTGCCTCGGCGAAATGAAATGGCCTGGCGCTAAAGCGCCCGAGAATACAAAAGTGGCTGAAAATGTATCCTGAAGGGTAGCACTGTAAGCTAGAATAGTTCGTTTCTCTTTATCATCCTCCGGGGATCACTTTACTTCATAGTCAGCGACACACCCCTAGAGAATCCTTTCACAACCCGGGAATGCACCCCGTAAGTGGGAAAAGCACAAGGGTCGGAAGAAGTTGTGTTGGTAGAACTTCAACTAGCCAAACTACTGGGCCAGTAGATCAGGTGCGAGGAGCATGCACGGTGTTCCAGGCGGAAGTAGTCACACCAAGCTATTCAGTTCTTAGAACTACAGACTACCTTCCCCTCCTACGAGCTTACAAGTCTATCTCAGGTTTCAAAAAAGTGATCTTATAAAGGAAAATGTTGCCAGCAACTCAGTTCGACTTTGTTGGGGCACCAAATGGTACCTAGTAAGTCGGTTTAGGTCACCTTGTGAAAACTTGATAATTTGCAGTTTCACAAGACTTTACAGATGTCGCCAAAGTTAGACCTGTTGGTCAGCGTGATTCGGTAAAGCGCCTAAAAGTTACCTCCCCTATCCCTGAAGCAGATCTGCGCTTGAAAACGTGTCATCTAGGGGCATTTCCATCGGTAGAAGTAGATATTAAGCTTTCAAAAAGAGCGTTCGTGAGGAATTCCTAACTTAGGATTGCTTAGGTTGTGAATCAGGATAAAGGGTGCACCAATTGCAGCTTCACAATATTCTACAGGCCTCGCTGAAGAACAGCAACTAACAAAGAACTAGAGATTAAGCGAAATGCCCCTCCCCTCTGTCGAACGGCGCCGTCTAATGAAGGATACTTCGTTCATCTAAGATGCCCTTTCCTGCTCAATGGCCTTCCTTATATCCCTATCAATCGCCTCTGCAAGTGTGGACGCAACACGCATATCGGGCGCATTGCAGAAAGGCTAGCACTTCTAGTCAGCTCTACATTTCCCTATCTTTGTAACGAGAGCGGTTAAAAAACGGTCCCTGACAGAGAAAGATGTTTCAGGCTGGAAAAACAGCAATCTCAAACTATTTGGGCGAGCAAGTCGACATCGAATCCCTTGGAGAATATCGACCGACAAAAGGTTGGTAAGTGGTTTATCAAAGCAATCTTCTCAGTCAACTGTTTTTCCGCCTTCTTTGCCGAACTTGTCTTTGACCGGGCTTTTATCTCGGCGACTTTTAATGGGATTTTCTGTGAAGCAATTTTCTCAAGGAGGTTTGCTCCAATTAGGAATAGAGGTGCCTGGAAGATAACCCCGCAAAAATAAACAATACTGTCTTTAATTAGTTTGACTGAACGGATGCTTGGAAACGATAAGCCCTGAAACGGATTTTTCTGGAGAATTCCTGCATAGAAGCGATTTTTTATGAAGAGATTTATGTGTAAGAATACAGCTCGTCAAGAAAGGTTTGGTACTCTTTGAAATCTAAAAAACTTTGCGATAGATTCTCATCGCTTCACAAAAATTTGGCGCTTTTCGGCTCGGAGGGGCATCTTGTACTTTTGTCGGATCCTTTGTTGCATGAACTGTTCAACCGAACAGTTTCATGCAACAAAGGATCCGACACTACTTCTTACTTTGAGCACAGGATTTCACAGGTCGTCACAAGGCGACCTGTTCAAGCGTAGCTGTGTACCATTCGGTGCCCCCACCAAGCCGAACTGCCCTTAAACTCCCTTCCAGCAGGTCTGCCTGAAGAGCAATTCAATGATCCACTACACAACCTCTTTAGACGGTCTTGATTTTGCAAAACCTAAGGGATAAGTGGAAGGATAAGCTTTTTCCTCCCAGAAATCTCCCTTCTTCTGATTCCAATAGCACTTGTCATGAGGACCTCCCAGTCCGTTCCTGTACTTTTCAAATCCGCCTAATCACCTTCCTCAAAGAGAAAGCGTACGCTGGCAATGACGAGTATCACGACATCTTGAGTGGTGATTGTTTGTGCTTGGTTGGGCAACGAAGCCAATCATCTGTCGTCTTTGGATCGTATTAATGAGCCTGCCCTCACCGGAAACCCCTCCCTTGGCCACTAATGCGAGTAATGAACGACGAATTGACCACCACCCGCCGGCGACGACGTCCTCTCCCTTTGTTACGTAGCGCGTGCGACAAAATTATCCGTAAAACTCCAGCGCCTAGTCGACAACAACCAGCCATGAGGGGATCTTCTCAGAAGATATGTCTAATTAGGAAGGGAATCTCCTGAGAAGAAGCAGCTCTATAGTAGGCACAGCACGGCTGGTGGTAGGGGAAGGGGAGGGGGTGGGGGAATAATGCACTTTCGCTACTTCCCATAGAGGTGTTCATCCCTAAACTTGACTAGTATTCGCTACCTACTACACCGGTATGACTTTGATGTCTTCACTAGATATCACTATCTCTACTTGATGGCTCGACACGAGAATGGAATGCCCACTCCCCACCCCCTTAGTCGAACTGCGCCCACAAAATGACATCTATTAAGAGAAAAATCGTGAAATTCTTTCAGGGAGATTTTTTAGTCATGTGGAGGAATGCGGAGAGCTCAGCTCTAAAAAAAGCGTGAGAGGGTGGCCAATTCCGAAAACTCGGGTAAAATCGAAAGGAACGGTATCCCCTGGCTATACCGTACCCACTCACATGCAGATCAGGCCCTCAACATGTTGTACTCGCTGGTAAATTCGGATTTCGAAATTCGAAAATTCAGGAAATTCTGAAAAACCGTTGAATAGAGTCACAAAAAAGAACTGCTCCAGCTGCCCTCTTAGCCCCTGGGATTATTCAGGGGCAAAGTGCGCAGCTCGAATAGTTGTATAAAATAAAAAAGTAATGCCGTGTTCGTCTCTATTATTTTTACGAGCTCATTAGGGTTTTTGACCAAGTACAGCCAGTCGAAGTGCTTGGTGGTTAAGAAAGCTTTTCTGCAACATTGAAATTGAAATAGAAAAAAAGCATTTCAAACAGTAGTTCATTTGACGAATAGGCGCGTTCGGCTAGGAGGGGACATTAGTACTTTCTCTTGTTTCTTTTGTTAGTTCATCTCAAAAAGCAGGCTTCATCAAAGTGTAACTACTGTGAAGCGAAGCTGCGAAACGGTATGGCTGAGCCACTTCGGTATATGGAAATCACAGATCTTCACAAGTGACCTGTAAGAGTCTATGTAGTAAAGTAGCCTAGCAAAGCTGAACTGCGCCGACAAATATACCAGGGCAGTTCGGCAAGAGGGGAGGGGGGGGGGGCATTTTGCACTTTTGCTACTTTCCGTCGACTGTCGACCCAAGTGAAGAGCAATTTCGTGAGTTACAAGAGTTGACAGGTTTCACCACGGTGGCTAAACGAGCTTGCTTCAGCTTAGAGTTCCCAGGTTTACTTGTAAACGGTAACTAGTGAAACAGTGAAAGTGTAAAATACCCCTCCCTCCCGTCGCCGAACTGCGCAAATATATTATTTATTCCAAACAAATTATGCCAGTGTAATACAAAATATCATCTTGGACCTTACTTTGTGAAGTCTGAAGGGTCCTGGATATCATTAGAATTCAATTTTCAATTTAGGCGTCCGAATAGTTGAATTCGAAAGTCACGAGTTGGAAATTCACCGGCAAAGAATCGAAGTCGACGTGGAATTGTGGGATTGTAGTGGCGATCCGAAGTAAGTGATCATGACAAAGTGAGAATAAAAGGGCATGTGACGACCTCATAACTCATCATCGCCCGCACTCCAGCTGTTATCTGGCCCCCACGAAGATGACGACGCGCGCGGCGTCGATCAGCTTGGGATTTCTCTCAAAAATCGCTTTATCTACTCGTTCTCTCAGTTACGTTTTAACTTCTCCAGGGAAGGTCTGAAAGTTCTTGGAAGTGTTTCGGACATCACGCATGGAGGAAAAATCAAAAGCGAGTTCTGAAATTGACCATCAAAAATCATCAAGGGCTAATAAGGGAAGCTAAATTTTAATAATATGCGAACCAGGACTCTTTCTTGCCATGAAAAACCTCAAAATACGGGACCCTCCTCCTACTCCTCTGCAAAAGTTACCCTCTCGACATGGCCCTCTTCCCACGCCCTCCTAAATACATCTTTCTGAATGGTTCCCAACTCTTCCCATTTGAGCTTTGGTTTTTTTTGCAGAGTTATCTTTTTCTCCCCAAAAAATGCTATTGAGCAGGTTGTGGCGGAAGGCGGAAGGGCGTGGGAGGCGACAGTGCGCACTTGAAACAGGAAAACAAAACTGGGAAAATCAGACGGAATGCAATTTCCTTCAGAGGGGACCCCTTCTTCCAGCGGACCAATACGACCCTCTTCAGGAGTTTGCCACGTACGATGTGCTCTGACATCAAATGTAGCGTTAGAATGACTCCCTGAGAATAATCTTTCGCCCTTGAAACGACTGCTTCTGCAGCTGGAACATCAACTTGGACTTGCCACGGGAAGGTAGGAGATCGTAGAAGTATTCTGACTCGGACGCGACCTTTTGTTCATGTTCACTTTTGGTAACACTCCTTTGATACTCCCTATCATCACCACCTCATCCTGAACTCTTCTCTCTTCCCAACCTCCCACCCTGACTTCTCCTACCTCTTTACTTCCATATTACTCATCGCTTCCAAGGTAGACAACTTCTGGTGGGAACTCGAAGTAATTTACTTGAGTGGAGTTTTTGCGCTTCAGATCGAATTTAGGGCAACTTCTGCGGCTGAGGAAAAATTTCGTAAACTGCCCGGGAAAATTCGCGAAAATTCCCTTTCCCTCAACCACTCCTACCTGCCGTCTTCCTGATTTTTCCCTTAGATTCCTACCACTTTTCCTTTTTTCTCAAAAAGGTACCGTCGGAGGGGTGCTCAAATGGGGGTTATGAGGGGAAGGTCTTTCTTGCTGGATCCCTTCACAGCGTTTTACCATTTTTATAGAAGCGCCAACTGCTATCGTAAAGGGGAATTTTGGCCCTGATTTGAAATGTTTATGGAGCAGCGCTTCCGACCCGCTCAAAAATTGTCTTAACTAATGGCCCAGATTTGTGGTAATAATGCTCCATGATTAACGACCGCAGCTAATTAGATGACCCGTTGAAATAAGAACAAAAGAGCCACCATTATCTCTCTCTGCAGGTACCGCGATTGCTGGCCAGCCATACGGGACGGTATCGAAGGCGTGATATTGGTGGCGAATCCCGATGAGAATAAAGGCGAGGATTTGAAAATATGGTAAGCTCAGACCCAGATTTCTAAGCAATATAACATCACTCAAGAAGGATTTTTACTTTTTTCTATTCATCGAAGACCCATCAAAGCGGCCCTTGCACTCCATTTCGTCGCAAGGCTGACAAATGGGAAAAAGAAGTGGCCGAAGAAATGACGGCTCCCTCCCCGCCCCAGTGCCCACGATTCCGAGCTTCTTCAAGGATTTTTTGTTGATTTTGGAGTAATTTCAGGGGTAACACTAATGAGCCCAAGGTATCCTGGATCGACTCTGTCCGGGTCAATCAAGCCTTCCACCCTTTCCGGGGAAGGGCATCCGGTGCCAGACGTGTTCCGGAGTAGAACCCTTATTGGATATCCCCTCTAAGTAGTTGTATGAGCTACATATCACTCACGTGTAATAACGATCCCTTAGGACATTGCCCCAATCCATGGAGGCCTACCCGCATTTACGTGGCATTATTAACAATTTTTCCGAAGCTACGTGACTTACTTTCATGCCTGATCTGAGCAAAGAATGACAGCCAAGCAGGAAAGCGGCATTCGTTTTGAACTTGACGGCCCCGTGGAAATTCAATATCAACGTGTACTTCACCACTACAGGCTGAAACCATTAAAATTTCAAATTGCTGTCAGTGTCGCCTCATGGCTCCCTTCAGTGTTTCTCAGAATTCTTCCCCTGGGAAGAATTCTGAGAATAAACTGGACTTTCGGTATAAAAACGCCCGACACAGTCTAATAAATCGGGAATCTAGACCTCATGTGAAGTAATAAATTGGTTATATGATATAGTCGCGTCACATGAGCGCTATTATGTCCTGATAATTGAAATTGGTTGAGGAATAAGCCCATATGAGAGACTTTCAGAGCACTCTAGCGCGATAAACAAGTTAATGAGGCGATCGAAAAACTAAATCTCTAGAGTTTTCCTGGGAAGAATCCTGAGAATACAAAGAAACGAACCTCTGGAGTAGAGAAAAGAACAAATAAAATGTCTGAAACGATTCGCTGAGGATCATACCCGAACCAATACCAGCTGCCATAGATGACTGAGCGAAGGATAGGGTTTCGGTGACATCTAATATGGCGCCCGTCGACAAGGCGTTTTGATGGCCTCAGAGAGGGTGCCGAGAGGGGCTCAGACGAGGCCAATATCAGATCGAAATGACACCTTATTGCAATAGGCCGCGCCGTTTGTACCACGGCCATATAATCTGTGGCACGGAGAATTTGCTCATCTTAACGCCAACACCATCAGCGAATGGATCCCAAGAATTGGGCGCGCATTGGGGTATAAATGAATGTTCCCAACTAATTTCATCTTCTGATGTCTTTTTCATGTTTTTCAAATCAAGCAGTAAAGGTCCTATCACAGTAATCCCACTCCCAAGTTTTCGAAACTTCGGGATTTTATTTGATAAAAACTTACAACGACTGACTTCACTAGAACGTTCCCACTAGTGTGGGTCGTATTACCCGTTTTCAATTCTTTTTTTTCGTACACTTCGCAGATTGTAAAAAGAAAAGGCGCTGTTGGCTTGGAAGAGACGATTTGCTTTTTCGCTAATTTCTTTTCTATTTCAACAGGTCTCCTTAGTAAGGCCTGTAAACTCGTGTGTAGTTGTAAAATGGTACAAAAGAACTAATTCGTTACAAGACTTTACAGGTCTCCACAGTGGGGGGAGGGGTGTTCAGACTTCGCTGACCACCATTCGGTGCCCCACCAAGTCGAACTGCGCGGAAGATAGTTTAGGTCATCGGGCAAGGGCGCAGCTGCACGCGGATGGACTAGAGACTGAAAACCGGTTAGAACCCTACACAAGTTTTCCAAAACTTATACCACTTATATAATTTAGTAACAGATCTCTCTGCAATAATAGAAGAATTGATGGTGAGCTGCTCAGAATTATTTCATGGGTCAAATTGGTAATCAAATGATCATCAAATATCCCTGTATGGGATTAAGTGAGTGACAGCTCAAAATAAGATTGTTGAACACCAGAGAAATCATAGCTAATACCATCCGAATCAGCCAATACGGTTAAAGGCCTGGACTGAGCCCGAGCCATTTTCTACCACTTGAAAGTTTCCTTCCTAAATCGATCACTGACCGATCACTTTGACAGAAAAGGAAGCCGAGAGCGAGCTCACTCCTCCCCTCCTGACATCGTACTGACTGATTGCGACGACATCACTGTATAAGCAGGAGGTCCAAGATGCAGAGAATTTGTGGTAGCGCGGCGTCGTAAGGTGTTCATTCTAGGATCTAAATTATCTAACTAGAAAATGCCCCAGTAAGCGAAGGCACTCAGCTTGAGAATGAAGCACAAGCGGAACCTAGATCTGAGCAATCTTTGTGTCGCTGGCGAGTTGTTTGTCGCGGCACTCGTCTTCAAAACTGAGGTAGGAAGATAGGCTGGCGGAGCGCCAGTAGCCGCCCTGGACTGCCCCAGCAGATTCCGCAGCGGAACAATTATGTAGTATCATTCGGGGTCTTTCGCGATATCTTGCGCGGAAACGATTCTCGTTAGGAGGCGGGAGTTATTCTGCTTTATGGGAATTCAACTTGTTCGCGAAGCTATCGCTGCCTTTCATTGCTACTGCATCCAACCGAACTTCAGCTTTCAATTCACTTTTTCATTGCTCATTAAAGCACTTGATTTTAGGTCCGACAGTGTTATTGGCCTTCCTCACAACAGTTGGATCGCAGGAGAGATATTCTTGGATCGTTTTTGAACGAAGATGGCGGAAGGCGCGACAAAGTGATCACGGGCGATTTCAGAATTCCGGTGAGGTAACAGGTGGCACACGTGCCCTTAGATGGCCATGGTGGCGACTGGCTGCACGTCCGTAATCTAATACAAGTAAGACGTAAGGAATTTGTTTTTCGTGAAGACGTAGACACACGAGGATGTTTGTGGTGAACAAGAGACATTATTACAAATGTCCTAAAGAAACGGTAATATTCCACCAAAATCGCAGCCACTGCTATGCTCAAATACAGCACGTGGCTCCCTCCCCATCTCTGGAATATGTAGCGTACTTGACGACAAATTTGAGTTTTCAATAACATGTGGTGCAGCCCATAGAGCGCACAACTTCAGAGTAAAACCGCGCCTGCTGAGGCCATCGACCTTTACCCCATCCCCTCTACAGGGTCCCTAACTGGTATTATACTCATATGGAGTAGAAAAACTTTCTTGCGTATATACATTAGCTCCGCAGGTCATTGTGTAGACCATGTCGCTTTCAGAAAAGTCACTGTAATTGTGGATGGCAGCCAAATGCATGGCTCATCCCGAAGCGAGCTGATCAAGGATATACTCACCTTTCTTCTATTTTTTTCTCTCAATGTCTTTCTCTTTATCGTCCTCACTATCTATCTCTTGCCTTTCTTTCTTCTTTCATCCTTCCGTCCTCTTTCCTTCTTTTTTCCTTCTTCTGGAGTGTTTCTCATTCTCCTTCTCTTTCTTGATGAGGATGAAGCAATTGTATGTTTCCAACAAGAAGAGGAACTCAACTTAGCTTCTGCCTTCTAACTGAATCCCTTGAAGCTACAAGAAGTGTCATTTAGTCTATGCATGCTCCTTCCAGAACAAAGTCATTCTGCTGTCTCGTTTGATGACGAAGGAAAAGCATGTAATGACGGATTGAACAGCGCAGGGATTACGGGCAATAGGAAAGACGCACTGAAATTAGCTGCAGTCTGAATGAAACGGCAGCGGAGCCACTCTAACGATTACATAGTGATCCTTGCGGGGAGAGCTCCAGCTCCTTCAGGCCCACTGGATATTTTCCTAATCTTCGCGACATCATAGTTTTGATAGAGGTGATGCTAAGAATAGCTCACAACATCAGATTTCTTCGAATGATACCTACTTCAAAAGCAGATTCCCGTGATTGCCTCGCGCAGTTTGTAGGGCTCAGCATCAGATCAGATCCTGTGAAAAGTAGAATAGTAATGGGGAAAAGAGCCAAAGAAAACCTAGAAAACGCCCCAAATAAGAAAAAATAGGCTATGCATTACACAGCATACAGAGCAGAGTAGTGTGGAAAAGAGAAGCAGACCA